GTTTTTGGCACATTGGGTACCGCTATTGAATCAAATCGAGGAACAAATAAATGAATTGAAGTAAGCTGAGTTCTCTTCCACAACCAAGTTGTAATGGTGAATAATTATTTTCTTTTCCAGGGATAAACAAAACCTTCTCCAGGAAGAGTTGAAAACCACAAATACATTAATGGAAAACCAAGAAAATTATGAGTACATAGCGTTAAGTGTTAGTATCTTTTATTTTTTATAAAGATTATTTTCAAAAAATATTTATTCATAACTTCATTTTGCATAAAGTTTTCCAAAATTCCTCAATACCTTACAAAATTACAAAATATACGCAACACCATGGTAACGATGCTAACTCGATCAAAAAATATGAATCAGCGAGTTGCCAATCTTAAATTATTTAAAGAACAGCAATTTGCACAAATTGCCAAAATACATCAACGTGAAAAAACTCTTGATCAGACTGTTTTGGCTGCAAAGGTTGTTGAAACTAACCCTATTGAACAACAAGACGATGTGACAAAAACATCTAAGAAAAAGAAAAAAGAAAGAGCAAAAGAGAAGGGGAAAACTAGAGATAGAATTGTTATAAGACGCGAAATAGAATTCGACACACCAACTGTAACGGGGGCATCTTCAACTGTAACGGAGGCATCTTCAACTGTAACGGAGGCATCTTCAACTATAACGGATGCATCTTCAACTATAACAGAAGCATCTTCAACTATAACAGAAGCATCTTTAATTGTAACAGAAGCATCTTCAACTGTAATAGAATCATCTTCAACTGTAACAGAAACATCTTCAACTATAAGAGAAGCATCTTCAACTTAATGATCGTAGTCGATTAAAATTTTATAGACTTAGCTGAGTCAATAAAATTTGATACGACTAAACCGGTTTATCTCAAGATTAATCCATTAAAATTTTGAACTATAAACCATAGTTCGGAAACACACGCTGCTCGCATTTTATTTTATGTTGACTTAGAGGATTTTTGTGCCATATGCATGAATTTCATTGGCTAATATTTTATATGTAAAATTGTTTTATTACAGTCATACCACCCTTTTTTCCAGAGCATTTTTGGGGATATAACTTGAGTATTACGTTTGCATCACGTGTTTATTTTTAAAATTAGATATATCTTTATCCGATTTGGGTGATTTACCATCAAAATGATTGACGGTAAAATCACTCCAATCGGATCACTGGATAAAAAGTTATTGGTTGTTGAATATTTAGGCCATGCAAATTAAAAAAAAAAATTGTTTTAATAACCGGATAGGTTCTTAAAAAAAATTGCATTTTATATTTAAAAAAAAAAAAAGCCGGCCTGCTGGGTCTATTTAAAAGCTTCATGTTATAAAAAACCAAGATATTAAATTTATATGGCCTTATTTATTATTAGCTGTTAGTAATAATTTATTTTCAATAATTTATTAATCAATAGTGTTATTCGTACAACAATGTTGGGGATATATCTATACATGTCAAAACCTGGACAAATCCCAAACCCCAAAAATATAATTGCTATTTATAAAAAATGAATCAAAACAAGTAATTTTAAAATTTTGCAAATATATTATACTGTATATAGCTATAAATATATCTCTGATTTTTTTAAATAGATTATTATTAACAAAGTTTTTGAGATATGAGTTTGGCCAGAGTTTGGAATTTGGGCGCGGATAGATTAGTGAAGCAACCAAAATTCAGCAGATCGACCAAATTTAGGGTCGGAATAGGTCAGAAGCTAGGCCGGCATTAAGCAATAATATAAAGCCAACTATATTATAGCAAAATTATCATCTGGGTAGTTTTACTTACTACGTGGGTTATCATCAGCAGTGTTGTCAATTGGCTATTTGGCCGGCCAATGGCCGCGGCCAAATGGCCAGAATGTATAAAAAATTATTTGGCCATTTCGGCCAAATATTTATATAGTAAAAACTAGCAATATGATTGGCTAAATTATATATACTGTATTAAAATTTTTTGGCCAAAATTTGGCTATTGGCTAATGGCCGTTGGCTAGTTGGCCATTTGGCCATTTGGCCGGCCCTCAAAAATTGTTTGGCCGCAAAAATTGACATCACTGATCATCAGGGTTGTAAAATTTTCATAATTTATGATAAGTTACTAAAACTTATAGTAAATTATCATGATAAATTATCATGATAAAAATTTTAATTGGCCAAGATTATATATATGATTGGCCAAGATTATGCATATGATCAGCCAAGATTTATATATATAATGATTGTAATACCATAATACCTGAATATATATTTAAGTTTAATACTAATTAGTAATACTAATTAGTAATTATTATATAAAAAATTTTTTTACAATATCATAGAAAATTGGTGCTTTTTGGAATAAATATACAAAAAATTAATACCAATCAATTTCAGTGTAAATATTGTAAAACAATATATAATGGGAACAGAAGGCTATGAAGAACTCTTGAAACAACACTCCTTGGTTAGAAAACTTACAAAATTATATTTTTCTTCTGTCATTTTTTTTTTTTCATAATTTTCAACAAAAAGTGAGGGATTTGGCTACCTCTCTCCAAAAGATTGGTATTGTTTACATTTCTATTTTCAGAAGGTTTCGAGTTACGATATAACGAATGAGGAACACAACAATTACATGTAAGGAAGAAGTTCTAATTGGGTTAAATCGAAGTATGTGGAAGTTCTGTGTTGGATCAGTTTTGAATATACAGGACTGAAGGTCTTATGTGACAGACACAAGAGAGTAGTTTCTAATGATGCTGGTAGACTATAGGGAAGATCTCCTATTTAATCTCGTATAGTGAAGATGCAAGGCATGTTATAAAAACTGTTAGAGAATTTCATAATTCAAAAAAAAACAGCTTGGTATAAATGAAACTGACGATTATGTGTCAAGATTTTAAAATCAGCATTCTAGGATTCGACGTAGATTTTATGAGAGTTGTCAACTGAAGCAATATAATAGAGATATACAATATTCTGAAGTCATATGTATATAATTTTTAGCCTTTAGCACAGATTAAAGTGCAATTTAGTTTATAGTTTCTTTTTGTCAGATAGCTCTATATATAGATTTCTACAACTATGTAGATAGTTTTTCACCTGGTTAGCAGGTTTTTATATCTGTAGACAAGTTCTCTTAGATTTTAGGATAGTTTTTT